CGCTGGGCAGCAGAGCTGCAGCCAGGAATGGCTCTGAGTCAGGGAGAGAGGGGCAGGGCAATTCAGTCCGGGGGCCTTGCTTGTCCTCAGCTAAGTGTGCGGCCAGTGCAGCCTTGTCACGAGTAACTGGGGAAGGGGACATGTTTGGGGATGCTCCAGTGTTGTCTGGGGCACTGGATGCAGAGCCTGGCTGCAGGCAGAGCAGTGCCAGCCTGCCACCAGCCTCGTCCAGACCCAGGCTGGACTGAGCTGAGCCCACCCACAACCACCCCTGCTCCTCTCAAGGACACTCACCTGCAATTATGGGGCTGATCCCTTCAGCTCATCCATGCCTCCAGCTCCCTGTTGGGATTCCCTGGCTTTGGGGACACATGCCCCCACACACCCTGCAGAGCCCTGCTGAAAACTCCAGGCTCAACACAAAACCCAAGGCAGTCCCAAACTACTCCCATCCACAGAAGCACGACCCTGGAGAGGAAGCAGGAGTGCTGGGGTCTGCACCCCACCGGGCTGGGGTACAGGAATGTAGGGACCTCTCCCCCAGCCCCTCTGCTCTTTGCAAATAGCCTGCTGTGGGTGTTATAGAGGGACAGGGAGAAGGAAAGACGTAATTTAACACTTCATTAGGTAACCACAAGGCATTGATCTGCCCTACCAGCCCGCGCGTTCTCTAATTGCATATCTCCATTCTTATTAGTTCTATCGGAAAAGCAGAGAGCAGGACTCGGGAGTCTGATCCTATCTTTAGGAAATTTCAAACAGAGATGTAATTGCTGAGTGCTTTAAATCATGGTGCTTTATCCACTGTTAACAGTATTTTAAAGCCACGGTCATCAATAGCAGTCCTCGGGATGTGCTCCCAGCAGATGCCATTAATCCTATTTTGGCTGCAGTCACCTGGTGCCTCAGGGCTCAGATTTACACTCGGAGGCAAGGGACAGCTCTGCTTCCCCAGCAGAGAGAGCTCCCAGGCAGCTTCTGGGCTGGGACATGGGGCTCAGCACCCAGGCACTGGTTCTAGGGGCAGAGGGCAGAAACAGGAGCCCCTTAAACCAGCTCCACCCCTTGCAAACATGCTAGCAAACAGCCACCTTAGATGGAGATGAGCAACTTGACACCAGGGGCTACTCCCCTGCCAGGGCCCACGCAGCCCCCCCAGTCTGGAGCAGGGATATTCATGGCCATGCAAGTGTCTGAGGAGGGCTCCAGGCAGGGCAAATAACCTCACTCAGGAATAAACCACAATATTTACTACATCCGCAAAGGAAATGGATCTGGGTGGCACGAGACCAAGACAAGCCCCTTGGCCTCTGCAGAGAGACAAGTCTGGGGTCTCTGGTGTCCTGGGGACCGGGGGAGCAGCAGGTCCTGGGGAGGTGATGCCTGAGGGAGACATCACCCAGGACATACACAGGGCAAAGCTGCTCCCATCTCCATTAACCCACCCTGCAGAGATACAAGAGCAGATGGGACCCACTGTGAGATTCAAACCTGTGGGGAATTTCAGGTGCTGGAAATCTTGTGAGGCCAGAGGAGGAACAGATTATGCTGCAAGCTGCTGGGAGAGCCTTGCAAGCAGGAATGCTGCAGGAGGAAGGGAACCTCCTCTGTCAAATGCAAACTAGCAGGTGCGAGAAATCTGGCTGTGCAGGAGGGAGAAAAAACTTTGCATCGCACTCTGTATCCTCGAAAGCCAGTCACCTGCCTCTGCCAATGCCTCCAGCAAGGAGGGATTCCCCAGCACAGCCCCACTGCTGGGTGGGCAGTGTGCGACTCTGTGCCCACCCAGAATGTTTCTTTGCCACTTCTACATAACAGATGCAAAATCTGTGCGAAGAAAAACCTTAGTTTAGGGAGCTGAGACTGAATTGGAGCATTCCTCGGCTCAGGATGTACCTCTAGTCTCATGAGCCCTCTCAGCATTACAAAACATGTCATGTTTGTGTGCTCAGTGCCTGTGTGCTCAGCTTTAATTTAAAGAGGAACCAGATACTATTTCCAACCTTCACTTGTGCCATGCTGGATGCCACACCAGGGGCTCTTTCAGCATCTCAGGTCTGCTATGAAAACAGGTGTGCATCTCTGTGAGCCCACACTGCGGACACACGTCCTGCTCTGCCAGGGCCCTGTGCCCAAGCTCACCTCCATGTGAGGGGATGTCCCTGCTGTGACTGTGGTCTCAGCACTCTGCTGCCCATCCCATTCCATTCCATCCTATCCCATCCCACCAGCCTGGCAATGGTCGCAGCAGAGGGGTCAAAAGCGGGGCATGGGGCCAGGGTGCCACAGATGGATTCTGCTGGAGCATCACTTGCTGTAGGGCTGGGAGAACAACCAGATCGGAGCTGCTGAACAGCCACAGGTCATAAAAGCATCCTTGCCCCTGGACACTGCCAGAAGGGCCCAGGTTGAACTCTGGAGCAGGGGAGCTCCAGCTAATTAGTCATTAGTTGCTTCAGAGGGGAAACGAGCCAACCTAACCTCTGCATGCCTGTAGCAGTGACCTGTGGGCCTTGGGACACAGCCAGGCTGCACATCACTGAGAAATGACTGAGGGTTCATCTCCCACAGCAGAGCTGTAGAAGCAGCCCAGCACAGCGGGTGTCCATCTCCCCAGCCCCTTCCTGCCCCCACGGGACTCCTGGGAGCTCCCAGCCTCTGGCAGCAGCCTGGCAAGCCTCTGAGCTGCCCTGCAGTGAGCAGCAAGCCCGACTCATTTAATCTATTCAATTGGATTCAATTTCCAGCCACATGATTCAATTAGCCCTGGAGGGACAGCACGGAGAGCAGAGGCTGCAGAGCATGGCCCAGCCTGTGCTCCAGCAGCTACTGAGCTGGGAAAGGGCAGCGCAGTGTGGAGCCACAGCAGCAGGACCTTGTACTTGTCCTGGCCCTCTGGGGTGTGCTGAGGTGATGGGGGCTGCAGGGGAACCCTCTTCTGTCCAGGAGAGGCAGGGGCTCATCTAGGCACAAGCTGGTCCTGAGTGATGTGTGAGCAGCTGCAGGGCAGAGTCTGGTGGAACCCTGTCCTCAGCATTTACCTTTGCAGTCAGTCAAAACCCAGAGAGGTGACAGCCACTCTGGATCAGATCTGAGGTCTGCATCCCTGAGCACCTGGCAGGGTGGCCTAAAGAAGCTTTAGAAAGACAACAGGAGCATTCAGTGATGCTCCCCCGAGGGTGCTGCCTGTCAGATATATTTGGGATCACCCCTCTGCTTGATCAGTGTTGCACTGAGCTCAACCACACTGTACTCTGATGGGGGAGAACCAGGTCTCTGACCAGCAGAAGGACTCTCAGCAGCCCCAGGGCCCTGCTGGTCCCACAGACCTTGCAACAGCCCTTCTCCAGACTCCTGGTCTAGACTTCCATTCATCACTTACTTCTCTGTCTGCCCTCCTCCTGAAAGCATCAACAAAGGCATTAGTAAGTTCCCACTAGGGGAAAAACACATCTTATCCCGGTCCCTTCGGATTTCTACCCCTCCCAAAGCTGGGCTTTACTTCTTTCCTTTCAGTTTACTGCAATAGCTCATCTCCCAAAAAAACCCATCACCTCCACGGGGACAGACTCCCATCCAGCACAACCCTGCTAATCCCAACAAGTAACAGAGACCAACACTGGCATTGGTGCTGACACCAAGATGGAGAGCTGCTTTCCAGTGCCAAGAGCCGCTGTAAATCTTACCACAGACTGCTGGCCACACACCAGTCCCAACACACATGATGGCACTTGTGACTCCCCCTGCCTGCCCTGTACTGAGCTGGGAAAGACAGCAGCTCCACCCTGGGAGGGAAGTGTGGGGGAGCAAGTGGAGCACACTGGGGCTGATCCCCTGTGCAAGTGCTGTCTAGGCAATAGCTCTCTCCAGGAATTCTCGTCCTGATACCGACCATGCAACAGTCTGGCAGGACCCCAGAGCAGGGAGTGTCCAATTCTTCAAACAGGGAGAGAAAAGCACCCCAACAGGCACCAGGACTCACACGGAGGGCAGCTCAGTCCTGCAGAGGTATGGTCCCTGTGCCACGCAAAGGAAGACAAAGAGGTTTGCAAACCAAACAGAGCAGGTGGGTGAAGTTGCACCCTACCCTCTGGCTGCTGTACACGATCATGGGTTTGGTACTACCTGCTCCTGGCACTCCCAAGGAGCAGACAAAACATCACATGAAGCCGACAGCCCATTCAGGGAAGACTCAGCTCCTGAGGAGCTGCCTCTCTCAAGTCTGCATGAAAAGTGGGACCTGTAAGAGCAAAGAAAGAAGAGACCGAAAATCACAGTGGCACTTACAAACCAATTTTTAGTAACTCCCTCCAAAATTTAGCTCAAATTCAATTCTTCTCTTCCAGAATTTGGTCATTATTTTGTAGAATATTTGTCTCCCTGCAGCAGCTGCCTAATTTAAAGGCTGCAATCTGATATCTCCCAACACTTCCCAAGCCTCAGACACAGATCTTCCAATAACAGATTGAGTTATGAGTTAGATGTAACAAAATACACTCACCTGCTCAGATCAGATACAGCAAAGTTTGAGGCCATCAGCCACATCCTGATGCTGAACGTTAGAGTTAAATGACTCTCTGCTCAGCTCAAGCTGGCCTCAAAACACAAGTAGCAGCAGGGTGTTTAACAAAGCAGGCAAATGTGCAGCAGAATCTGTGAGCAGGAGTTTGCTGACACCAGCAGCAGAGAGCATCACACTGTGCACAGACAGGTCCCTGCATCCCTCGCTCACAGGCTCTCAGCCTGGCTCATGTTTTCCTTACTGGCAGCCCCAGGCACACATAAGAGGAACAGGGATGCTGACTACTGGTTGGTACCTGCAGCCAGAACCAAGGATGCAGCATAGCCGTGCAGCACCACAACCTCCCCCTGCACAGGCAGGAAGAGCCCAAAGGCAGGTGACAGCCCTGCTGCAGCCAGTGTGCCACCAAATGGTGACAGGGCCACCCCCACAGCCACCCCACTCTCCCCCCTGGGAAGGACAAACATTGCACACTCTGGACAGTCAGGGCTCTGCTATTTATTGAGCTCTAGGTTTGTATGTACATCCATTTACAGTGCTTGGTTTGGTGACAGCATGGCAAGAGGATGTGTGTCACAGTCTTCCCCAGCTTAGAGACTTGGATGAGGGCTGAGCTCAGGAGCAGATCTTGGTCACAGCCTGGGCTTCTATAATCATCCCAACAAGGAAGCGTCCTGAGGGAGACAAGACTTCTAATAGCTGAGCCCAGACTGAGAAGCTAAAAATTCCAGAGGTTGCCGAGGCAAAAGCAGACTCATCCCAACTCTCTCAAGGATCTGACTAGGCTCAGCCTAACTGGGATCAGAGAACAGGAGGCATGTAGACAGCTAGATGACTCAATGCTCTGACAGTCGAGATGCTGGGGCTGCACCTCCAGTCCCCTTGAGAAGGAACTCCCACCCTCAGAGGTGAGATCCCCCACACGCAGACAGATAAGCATCATGTGCTGCAAACAACTGTTACTCATTTTTCACTGGAGAAGCTGCCTCCTCTACATGCCCTGGCCTGTTCCCAAGCAGTGATTTTATGGAGCCTGCTTGCTCTCCCAAGCAATGTCCCTCTGACATGTACACACTTCCACACACTCGCATGGCAGAAAGCAAATAAGTGTCTGGCTTAGCTGTTAAAAGCCAGACAATTCCCTGCTGAGGCATAGTATCTTCTGCTGAAAGAAACCAGTGCTCCCAAGGAAAATATAGGGACTTCATAGGGTGTCATGCCCAGTGGGTGGCCAAGGACACAGCTTTCAGTTACCCATGCTCATAGCAGGTAAAGATGAAACATTAACACAATTAACGCACATTAGTGTGAATAAGCCTTGCCTAAAAATGGTAGTAAATGAGCATGACATCCATATTACTCACACTAACCTACAAGGCTAAGAGCAGGACTAGGCACTTTTTAAAAAAAACCTGTTTTCTAGAGGGAGAAAAAAAAAAAAGTGGATCTGGGACGTAAATAACTTCTCTGCTTCAGTCCACCAAGTCAGGCCAGATCCTAACAGCACTGCCGGGAGCAGAAAACACACAAGCAAGGAACGGGTGTATGTGCTGTGTATTCCTGAGCTAGAAGCCTGACACAGCACTCTAAACAGGCTCTGCCAGGCCTAAGCACCTCTGAAACACCGGCTCTGGAGCAGAAAGGTCTGGTGTGCCCCACAGGATCATCCCAGCGCTCTTCCTTAGGAAGTCCTCAGCAGACTGTGGCTGTAAGTCGCTTGGTGAAGACAGGAGGGCAAGTGAGAAAGCGAAGTTACTACTTCTCCAGCTGCATTTTAACTGTGTGTTACACACAAGGGAAAAAATGGGGACTTCTTCGTTCATGAAGGTCACCAGGTACCTGCAAACATGTGCAAGGCAGACGTTCCTGTGAGGGAGAGGAGGATTGTCGCAGTGCGGTCTCTGATGGGCAATAAGGTGAGTGGGGAGAAGGAGTCAGCCTGTCCTCTGCCCCATGAAAACCAAGCATCTAAAAATGTCCCTCAACCTTGGAAACAGCAGATGAGCTGGGACTACTGGAAGCAACAGTGACCCCAAGCAGAGCTAGTTCCAGTAACAAAGTGCTCTGTTTGATGACCCATGTTCTTGCATATTGGCTCAGCCTGGACCGTGTAAGCCAACAGCCTTGGAGGCAAACTTTCCCCTGTTCCAGTAATCCGATGGCTTGGTTGAAGTGAAGGGCCTGCTCCTTGGGGAAATTTTTATACTCCAAAGCCATTGCCAATGGGATGGCAGCAGATTTGACTTACATTACAGGAGGGCAGTTGATTATATCATTACTGTTGATTCCATACAGGCTGATGGAAAAGAACAGCCCACACCTGGGATCAGAGAGCTTTCCCCATAGAGCAGGTGAGCGATCTCAACCCAGAACAGTTTCACACAGCTAGGCTGGTTTTATTATTTTGGTTGTGAGCTCTCCCCAGCTCTTCCAGTGCATCTTCCCTGAGCCTGTGGAGGGAATCTCCCATTGCTGTGTCACAGGAACGGCTCCCCACTCCCATGTCACCTTAAAAAATTGCTTCCTCCTCAACACGCCAATCACCACTCCTCAGCCCAAGTTCTGTTGAAACACATTCCATTGGGATCAAACACACAGCAGCAAGGCTTTCTCCTAAAAGAAACACAATCCCTTCTGCAGGCGGAAGGCAGGGGGTGACCGGCTGCAGAGCTGCAGTGTCCCTGCCCACACAGGCCCATCTCTGCCTGGCACAGCAGCAGCGTCCCCGCCTCAGGAGATTGTAGAGAATTCCTTCAGCAGCAGTTCCTGGCTCAGCGTGTTGAAAGCAAGGTTCTTCCTCACGTTGATGCTGATGGACCGAACCTGACAGAAACAAAACAAGATGTTTTAGCCAAGGGACTCCTCCTGGCTCCTCATGAGCCTGGCAGTTTTGATACCAGTGACCTCCATGCTCAGCATGAAACTGTTCTGCACAGTTACAGCTCCACAGAACTTGCTGCAGTAAGCTCTCGCTGAGACTCCAGGTTAGCAAGAAAACACTGAGATTCAGCAGTTTCCTGGAATAATAGGAATGTCTACAGTGACATCCCAGAAAGAAGAGTAAATTCCCAGTGAGACAGGGGTGGGAGAGGATGCTCTGTTTGGATGCATGAGCTATGATGTGTTTCCTGGTCTGGGGCAGAGATGAGGAAAGTAAGCATTTCCACGTTGCAGCTGGAAGATTATATTGGTAATAGTGCCCACTGGAGTGCCAGCCAGCATTTTCCTGGATTAATGCAGTGCCATGGCCTCTTTCCTGCTCCAGAACCCAGAGCCAAAGATACAGACTCAAGGAAAGTTCAGAGGCCATGCCACTAAGCTGAATACACAGATTATCACCCAAGCTGGCAGAAAACCCTGGGTTCAGAGCCAGCTGTGTGTACTCTGAGTGAGTGCCTTACACTTGCAGCTGGCTCACTGACTGTCTCTGAAGAAGAGACACCTTTATCCCTCAATAACACCCAGACTTCTGGTCACCCACAGAGCACAAAGAAGAGCTGGGCAGCCCTGTTGCGCAGCCACTTCCCTTCCCCCTTCGTGCCTGCAGACTCGTTGGCCGAGCACACAGGCCCCAGACTGGGCTCAGCCTCAGCTGCACTTGGCAACGAGAAAACAAAGTCAAACATCATCTGTGTCAGCGACTGTGCAGCAGTGACAGAAAACAAAACTGACACAAGCTCATCCAAACAACGGGATTACAGTTCCCAGAGACTCGGAGCCTGTGATAATAAGGTTGTTGCTGACCTGGTTAGCATTTTGTGCTTTTTAAAAGCGCTGGGGGAAGAATTATAGAGAAGCAGAATGAGGAATCCAACACTGGGGACAGAAAACTACATAAATATACATATATATACACACACACACACACACACAAATATATATATACTGCTGAGGGTCCCACTTGCTGCCCTGGTGAGAAAAAAAGAAGGGAAGGGCAGAAAGCTCCCCAAAAGGCAAATGTGTAAGACAGGGAAGGAAATCAAAACATGGAAGGTTAACAGGGAAAGCTATAAGATGAATGCCAGTGAGCCCCACTGCATAGATCCTAACAACCTGAGCATGCTAGCAAAGATGTCTATGCTTAAAGACAGAGTATTAGAGTTTCATGTCATCTGCAGAAGCCACAAACTCTCCTTCATCAGGATGCTTGGCACAGACCCCATGTGTTCCTTGGAGGACCCCCTTCTCATCTCTCTTCTCTAGGTGCCTTTTGACTTACTCCATCCTGAAACAGTTTGGAATCATGTCTTTCAAGATTACCACAGGTTACAGCCTATATTAACCATTGCATGTGGTCTCCAGAACACTGTTTTGCACTGGGCTGTCTTCCTGCCAGGAGACAGAAGTCTCACTGACAGGATTTGGTCCCAGTCCTACCAAGTGCTCCCACCTCAGGGATTCAGTCAGTTCTCAGCAGAGGGAAAGAACATGGCTAACCAGATTCACAGAGTCCTCTGCCCTGGGGATCATGACTGCCTGCAGAAAAAGGGTAGGTGCTACATGTAGTGTAAGCCTTATTCTGACCAGAAGCATTTCTATGGGTCCCAGCAACATAAAGAACAAGCAGGAATGTGACCCTGGCCTCAGGAACTGCTGCCAGGGGCAGGTACCAGCAGCAGAAGATTCCCAGCTTGTATATACATCAAGTTCTCCAAGAAGGATGTGTCTCTGCAAGCCCAGGAAGGGAGGCTGGAGTGGCATGATGAGAACACAGGGCTTAGCAGAAATTGTAGCTATGGAGTGGAGCACAAGAAATTAATTAGCCTGATTAGTTTGCAAAGAGAAGGAGGAATAGAGCAAACACTCTCCAATATGTAAAATGAGGTCAGAAAGAGAACAGTGAGTAATATTTATCTGGCTCTCCGGGGATGGGGCAAGAAATACTTAGCCTAATTTAAGACAAAGAAGATTTACACAGGAAAAGAGGAAATACTTCCAAACCTATAGTTTGTGAAGGAGTGGAATAGCTCACCTGTGGCTACTGTGAAGCTGTTTTCACTTAAAGACAGCTTTGGGTTTCAAGAGGAGTTTAGACACAGACTTTGGTCAAGAGCATTCTAGCTGGACTTAGATCTGCTTTTACACAAGTTGGGAAGAAAGGTGGCCATGATAACAACACACAAGACCGATGTTTCTACAAATCTCTGTCCGGCATTTCTTCTGCTGTGAGAAATCAGGCAGCCCTGAGCCAACCCACTTAAATGGTAAGAATAGCTCAGATCAGAGTTAAATCAAGTTATCTCCACCACCAGGACTCAGCACAGGGAACCAGAGCTCATTTCCCTTTTGGGGTTGGAAGACCAGACAGCGACACAGGGAGATATCAGCCTGTAACAAGGATAAACTTTAGAAGCTTCCTGTAGTCTAGCTGAGCTGTTTCATTCATGAGGCTACACTCCAGGACTACTCCTAGCCCACTGGTGCAGCAGGCAGTCCAAGCCTGGCTGCCAGACTGGAAGCTACCAGATCTCTCCAGGGTAACTTACACAAGTGCCCCAAAACCACAGAAAGTAAGGTCAGAGCTTTAACATTCATTCTGCAGGGAAGTAAAAGGAGATTATATGTCCTCTCTTGCTTCTGTATGGAGCACTAGGGCCAGAAGAGCTTTTAAAATTGTTTTCTCCCTATTAGCCCACAACCTTTGAAGAAATGGGAAATGCATGAAATGCTGACATCATCTGGAAGATGATGAGGGAATGAAGGAATGGATGAAGCGATGGCATTAACCATGTGAGGAAAACAGGATTCAGTTCTAGTTTTGTGTCATTATAGCTGGATGTGTGCAAAGCTGCACAGACACTCCTACTTCGCAGCAAGTCTCATCAATTAAACCTGTTTCTAATCAACAAGCAGCTCTTAAGATATTTGTACAATGGGAGGAAGGTTTACACTGACTGCTACATCTAATTAAAAGTCAAATTAATGTAATTTCCTCAGCAGAAATCAATCCCTAATCAGACTATACTGAAGTGACAATGAGACTCTACTGAAATCTATCCAACTGCAAAGACAGGGAACTGCAAAGACAGGGAAAGACGCTGAATCTCTTTCCACACATTTCTTCAGCTGCAATGCAAGGGTCCAAAGGCTCACATCCAAACCATTCATTCTATCAAAGCATCACAGACCTCAAATGACATCCCTGAGGCTTCAAAGGAAAAGATATAAAAAGTGTTAGAAAACTTCCTAACTTCCTTCCTTTAGCCCCTCAAAGGCAGCACAACAGGCCATAAAACCCAGTTGATAAAACAATCTGCACATCACCTTCCACCACAATGTGGCTGCAGTATCACAGCCTTTGAAAGCTTCTTTGTAAAGGGAATGGGAGAAGAAAGTAGATTTTTCTTTGGGATTAGCAAGAAAGAGCAGCACTGAGGCAAAGCCAGAGAAGCGAAGCAGTGCATTAGCAAAGCAGGTCAAAGGAGTGAGAACAAGATTTCTAAGCATAAAGGAGCCCAGAGAATGGCATGGGGAAGCTTCTGCTCACTCACTTAATGGAAGCACAGAGAGATGAAAAGGCGGCTGAAAAGAAAAATGACTCCTGCATGTCATTCCCCACCCAAGAAGGGTTTGCTTTAATGCAATCACATAGATACTGATAAGAAAACCAGGTAGAATCTGGAAATAATTATTTGCAAATAGATTCTGTTCAGGAAGACCTGATGGGACAAGCATGACCTTGGAAACCATAATGGAAATCTTTAGTTCACTATCAGCCCTGCTTATTTAGCACAGTCCACAAAGAGAACTGCAGCAACTTCCCTCTGCCCCCTCCATGAAATCTCTCAAACCTCAGTAGTTAGACACAAAGCATTGCATAGCAGGGCATTATCCAACATCAGACCAGATACAGAAGCCAAGGTAAAGACTCCAAAGCTTCACAAAAAGGAAGCAAAGTACCTGGTTTGAAGAGGCCATGGGGAGGACATGGCAAATTAGGACCTTTCTGATGAGTTATTTGAACAATTAATAAAGCAATCAGTTACTGTGCACCTAGAGAAAAACAGAGTAAGAAGGCCAGGAGGCCAGCTGGGTTTGCTGAAGACAAATCATAACATATCAGGTTGATTTCCCGCTGTGTTGAGGGAATGGCTTAATGGAATGCAGGGGATTTTCTGTAGCTGTGAGTAAAGAACGTTTAATAGGGTCCCAATTCTCAGGGCATCTAGAGATGTGGATTAAACAGATTCACAACTGGGTCAAATCAGCACATTTATACAGTAATTATTCAGGCTTTAATATGCTCTTGAGGAGATGGTCCCAGGGGTACCTGGACAGGCAATTTCAGAAGGGAGTTGACAGGCTGGTTACGCTAAACCTATTCTTAAATGATACAAAATTGGGATTTCGAGAAAAAAAAAATCAGTCTAGGAAGAAAATAATTTTAGCTGAAGTGTTTTGTGGCTGTGATGATCATAGGACTGAGAATGTCATTTTAATCAATTGGCATGATCAGCCTGAGCTTCTGCCAGGCCAAGTGGAAAGTGGGGCATGCAGGAAGCAGAGCAGTCATGTGGCCAAGAGGCTGGGGAAGGAGATGCTGGCTGAGGATGAGAGCCCTTGGGACAGAACAGATGACAACAGAAACAGGAATGTGCCTTATTTCCACAGTACAGTAATAGAGGAAGCCTGTGTCACAATAAGGCTATGGCCAAATTTCTTTGCATGTGTTCCAGAAAAGGTATTAAACAGCAAGCTAGAGAGACAAAAACAGGCACAAAAGAACACAGAAGAATGGCATGGAAGTGATTGCAAGTGGTTTTGCCCATATACTACCCAATGTCTGGAATGGCCCCAAAAGCATTCCATACAAGGAAACAAAACCAATTCAGGTGCTTGCTCTGGAGCAGAGTAGACAGAGGGATGCACAACATTCCCAAACTAATGCAGACTCGTGATGGAGTGGGCAGGCATCAATTACTCATGAATCAGGAAGGACAGAACTGGGAGAGAGAATCAGTTCTCAAACTGGTGGAGAAAGCTGCCACAGTTAGAGATCTCTCCCTTCGCTGAAGCTGTAATGATTCCAGAGTGAGGAAGAACAGGCTCCCCTCAGATACCAGACATTACAAAAACTTTGCCTCCCTGCTGATGTGGCTCTTGGACAAGAAAAGTTGCATCAGGGCTCTCCGGAGCAGGGGAAGCAAGCCAGCTTGCTGAAGAACATAACTACAAACCCAAATTATTTGGACTCAGTTTTGTCTTTGCTCTATTACTTTTGTGGGATTTCCTACCATCAGTGTTCTCCTCTTGCAAGAAGGAGACATTTTTAGGGAATGCCTTCACTATCTTTGCTTGGGAACCCTATTTTGTGAGTGATGGAGGAAAGCAATGAGCAGGAACGTGTTTCACCAGCATCACATACTCTGCTCAGTCCCATACTTTGTTCTCCCCTTAACAACAGCAAAAAAGCAAAGTTGCTCTGTGTGATAAACCCAAAGTGGGAGCACTCAGCTTCTCCTCATGCAAATTTACCACTACAAAACACAGAGGATCGCCATGGCAAAAGGGACAGACACTGACCAACCAGTGCTGGCCTAAGCAGCCTGGAGGTTCCTCTTCAGTCACACAGGGAGCTCCAGGAAGCTCTCAGATCTGTCAAGACACGCAGTGTCTGTCCAGATCCTACTCCTGCCCTGTCTTTTGAGGCAGCCCAATGAAGTGACAAGGTTGCTCAGCTATACCCCAAAAGCCACTGCCCAGGCCATAAGCAAAGGGTCTGAAAGAAGGTTGTTGATTCTGCAGAGTCAAGTCAGCTTACCAGCTCTTTGAAGAAGGCAGCCTCTTTATGCTGCTCTGAGTAGCGCTCATACTGGTCCAGTCCGTCCTGCAGTTTCAGGGTCAGCGTGTCGTAGTTGGACCGCACCACTTCCAAAACCTGCCAAAGACAGCCAAATACAGCAGAAGAGTCAACATCCACAGATACCTCACCACAGGAGGAGCAAGGCTGACACAGATCACAGCTCTGGCACCTATGTTGTTTTTGCACCATAGATGGCTTTAACAGCCAATATTTGGCTCGTAACTGACAACACAGAGATGAGCACTGAATGTTTCCTAATGCCAGTAAGGAAGAGTCCTCAAATTTATGGAATTTCTTCATTCATGAGAATAGTGCATGGAGCCTATATGTATGACAGCAGCAGTTTTGTGTCACCAGAAGTAGACATGATCTCAGTAAATTATGCAGCTAATTACCCCGTTAACACACAAATACAACACAGTAGGCACTATACACACACGGGTTCGCCTGACCCCATGGTCCTTCCAGGGCTAGTTTTGCCAGCACACCTCCCTCCTGGCTTGGGAATCACCATTCACCACCTGCTAAACTACCAGCTTCTACGGCTGCTCAGGTCAGCTTCCATACAGAACACTGCACTTCTCTCCTGATGGGAACAAGCTTCTGATAGGCACTAAGAGAAGACCAACCCTGGTACGGACTCTGGTTTAAGAAAGAGATGAAGACACAAATCCAGGTCTTCCTGCCCAGGAGATACTTTACTATCTGCCTTCACTGCAACAAAAGCACTATAGTTTTTATTACTGCCCTACTCTGCTCCCAGCACTAGGCTATACTTGCAAATTCATAGCTACACATCTCTGTCCTATTGAACTATTCATTTTCCTAGCTAGGGAACACCAAGAGGGACTCCCACGATGATTTTTAGCTTCAAAGCATTGCATGGACTAACATATTCCTCAAAGCATTTGTGAGATGGTTAGTAACAATAATGTTCCTAGAAGGAACCATAGAGCTCAGCACTCCTGGGCAAACATGCTCGAAACAATTTTCTTAAAGACATGAACTTCTTTCTAGGCTGTTACTATTTGCTCTGAGAGCTAAACAGAATATCAGCATCTGAGGCTTGCACTACAGTAGCCCCCACTTATGATAAGGCTCAGCCAGCAGGACATATATGATAAGGTGCAAAGGAAAAGGACTCTGCTCCAAGGCATCACAACTCAGAATAGATCCTAAGAAGAGCATTGCAGAGGATTTAAGACAACAGTGACTAGAACAATGAAGAGCCCTTGTACTTCTTCTTTTGTCCTCTCAACAATGTAAACACTACCCTCAACTGTCCCTTTAGGCAGCTGGCAGCTCCTGCCCCTTTACAGGACTGAATCCCATCCTTACACCCCTTATGCCAGGAAACTTGGACTTGATTAGGGTTCCTTCAAAAGCTTGTTTCCTCCAAACTCTGCATGTGGCAGTGGTCCACAGAGACATTCATGCTAGAGCCTGAGGTGATAGAAGCCACAGGGCATCACCTAATCAAGGATTAGGGGCAAAGAAAGGGTCCCAAAAGCGGTTCCCAGGTGAGATGGTCATACAGCAGTCACTTTGCAGCTCAGCTGTCCTCCAGCACTGCACAGACAAAGTGGGGTAGGAATAAGTATTTGGACTCAGTCTCAGAGGTCTTTTCCAACCTAATTGATTTTAATTCTGATTCTAATTCTGCAGTGTTACTTAAGAACAGCCTGACAGTGTCCTGCTGTTGTGAAAGCACACAGCCTCCTCTCCAGGACTCATTTCCTAATGCTGTTTGTCAGCTCCACTGGCAGAGAGAAAGAACCCTCTGCAATGACAGCCACCTCCAAATTCAGCCTGCCCTTCTTGTCCCTGTGTGCCAAAGCTGCAAGAAGTATCACAGAGCCAAAAGCAGTGATGAAAGAAAGCCACCAGGGCACAGGAATAACTATCCACTAGGGACAGAGCACGGTAGTATAATGCACCTTCTTCTGAGCAATAAAGAATCCAGCATCTTGCTCCTGTCAATTGGAGGAAGCCAAATTGACTAAGATTAATAAGCTACAGGGGAAAAACCTTGTTTGAAAGGTGAGGAATCAAATAGGCTTCTCCAGCAGTAACTCAGGGTGAAGGCATTTTACTCAGGGCTACCCCACTTCCCAGGAACCTTCCCCTGAGCTCCTCTTCACTCTCCTTGTGTCCCCTTATGCAGAGCCATGCACAGTGCCATACAGGTGTGCCCAGACAATGGATGGACATGCTTCTCCACAAAAGAATCAGGATTCCTCCTTGCTAGCTCTGAGCAGAAATCTCTTCAGATATTCAGAGGTATCCTCAACCCATGGTAAAGAGAAATAAACTCTGAGGGCAGCAGTGAGCTCTGTAACCAGTATCCTTTAAATCAGCCCTCCTGCATCCCCTTTGAAAGGCAGCTAAGAACTCAGTTTGATACCTTAAGAGGAAGACAGGAAAGGAACAAGAGGCCCCGAAGTCTCTACTGTGTTACCCACTACTTATCGTAGTCTCTGCAGTGAACTTGAGATCAGCTTATCCCTTTAGCTACGTATTTCATTGGCTTCCACTCCTTAACTCCTTTAATTATGAGATAGAACTTAAAAAGAAAGAGTAAGTTAAAAATAAACAGCTTCTCCCCCCTGCCTGATAATTTCCCTTTCTTGCTGCTGCTGAGAAAAAATGCTACGTGGGATCTGAGATAAACCCACTCACAGATAATTTCACTTCATACCTTGTAATGGATAGAAACTGTTACTGAGATTAGGATCTGCCATCCTTGAGACAATTTCATCTGCTCTTTAAGATGCAGCTGCTAGACAGAGGACAGGTTAAAGAGCAGCAGAAGATACTAAGAGTATCTAACATGAAGGTTTAAAAGCTTTCAACACAGATGACAAGGAACTCAAATTCTCTGTGTAACAGAAGACTGTGTGTTAGCATCCTTTGCTCTCCTTACATGCTGCTTTGACTTTTGCTCAGGAAAACTACGCAGGAAGAACAGCGCTTTTCGTTGAACACACGAGATCTTTATCTGCACCTTTCCATCAAACAAAAAGAACTAGAGGAATTTAATTTTGAGATTAAAGCATTTCTCCTTCAAGGTCATGTCCAACCTGTTCTTCCTAGAAGTCTCTAAACCAGAAAACATGAATTCCAAGATAGTGAAGTATGAATGACTTAAAAGAAGGGACTTTTAGTTGGACTCTCTCAAACAGATTTTAAATAGTCATTCAGATTCTTACGATCTCACGGGCATCTGGAAAAACACCAGTTCTAGTGTCAGGCAAGGATAGAGGAATTTGAACTGTACATTATTTCAAAGGAGCTTGATGTGACTCCTCAGATTGCAAGGGTGAACATGCAGGGCAATCTATTTTTCTTTAAAATGTTTTACTGGATCTTTACAGTGAAAAAAACCCTAATGGAGTCACAATCTAAAACTCTTTTTGTTGGTTACCTTAGGGGGATTGGAGTCTTAAAAAAGCAATATGACGAAGTGAGCAACTCAGACAGTCAATACAAGAAGAGTGAAGGCTGCTAAATTCCCTTTCTGCAGTTACCTGTATCAGCCCCAGAGGCTACATTTGCTCATTTACTCCACTGCAACCAACCTGAAGTCAGTGGAGCTGCACCACTGTAATTTAAAGATAATTTGCCATCAAATTAACCCCCTGCCCCATCGCTCACTCACTGACTGCTTTCCAGAAACTCCAGGGAAACATTAGCTATTCAGGTCCCTGCATTTGTGTCCCCAAACCAACCTTTCAGGAGCTGCTCTCTGAGCAAGTGTTTTCTGTGGCACTCAGATTTCAGCTTCCTCCTGCAGCTACAACTGCCCATGTCCCTGAACTCTCCTTCCCCAGTAACATCGACAACTTGTGAGCAGAGGCATCCCCTGAGCAACACAGTAGGAGGGCTGGCTTCTGACAGAAGGGCTGATGTGGGGCTCAGCTCTCCACAGCATCCCACCCATGCCATGCCCTGCCCTGCCATGCCACTGCACCTAGAGAAACAACATTATTTTGCAGAGTTTTTGCCTCCTTACTTTGCTCCATCCACCAGCTTATCGCTACCTTGCAAACTGGACGGACAACCTCCATTGTTTGGGTCAGTGGGCTCTTGAGGACACAAGCTCTTAAACCAGTTCTCCCAGAACCAATTGTCCCTGCCCTGCAATTTTCAGCATTCGAAACAGACCACAATTTTGCTGTAACACTCACTACACACAGGCTCCTTCCTTACTGCACCAGAGCTGTTCCCTCTGACCGATCCTCAACAAGAGCCGACATACTACACTCTCCCAGGAGAGACCGGACCTTCTGGAAGAGCCTGTCCTGGGGAAACATGGGGATTACACATGGCAGTTTCCTATCCCTATCCTACCCAGCACACGGTCACTGTTAGCAGCAAAGCCAGAGAAGAAGCTGAACTGGCAATGAAATCTAACAGGTAACATGCAACACTAGGGCCCATCTGTCTGAAAGACACCATTTGCTTCATTACTTAACTTTTTAACCTGCAGAATCTTTCATCATCTGCAACTGCAGTCTCTCTGCTTTACTGGAACATAAAATTAGAGAGCACCAGCAATTCACAGCACCCAGCAAAGGACCTGGTGCTGGGTAGATTCTGGGAAGCATGCACAGGTAATGACAGAAAAATAAAAGGAAAAACAGAAGCAAGAAGAAATCAAGGTCTCTACACTGTCTTTTAAATCAGCACAGGAAAGGACAAGAATGCAATCAGTCAGCATCACCAGTACCTCGCTAAAGCCTCTCCATGCCCTTAAGACAGTAATTAGCTACCACGACAGAGCAGTTGGAACAGCACTGATTGAATGATCTCAAATCAAGTAAAAGGCAAAAAACCATCCCAACAACCCCGAGGTTAAAATGCACTTGCCCCACACACCAGCTCCGTGCCACTCACATGGCTAGGATGGGGGGAGGCTCTCCAGATCAAGCCTAGCAAGCCCTCACAGGACAGAAAAGTTAGGTGCTCCATCCCAGCTGTCCCATGCCAGAGGATGGAGCAGCCAGTCTATGGGGCACGTAATGCTGACCTCTCATCAGCGCTACTGCACAGACGTGGCACAGGGGCAGAGGGCA